TTTTTTTTTTTTTTAAAGAAATGCAGAATGGAACAGGGAAAGGAACTCAGTTGGTGGAGTATTTGCCTAGGATGTCTGAGACCTCGGGTTCAGTTCTTAACACCACATAAGCCAGGCATGGTGGCACATGCCTTTAATCAATGGGGAGGGGGAGGCAGGAGAATCAGAAGCCAAAGGCCATCCTTGGCTACATATCACATTCAAAGCCAACCTGGGCTACATGAGACCTTATGTCAAAAAGCAGAAGTTTTTAGATAATAAACTTGGTCACACAGTAAAATTTTTGTTGCTTCTTTATCATGAGAAAATATGGTAGGCCCACAGAAGGACTTTATCCCATCCCTGGCAGGAGGCATGTCTCAGCTTCTTCTCTGAGTTATCTGCGTTAATCTTTTTTTTCTAGACCATCAGAACAGACATTGTGATGGATGTTGGCAACAGCATAAACCCAGCCCTTGACATAGGCCAGGTACGAGTAACTGTTTTGTCTTGTTTCCTGTTTGTGGGGCAAAAACTTCAGTGAGGTCTGAAGAGGAAACATCCACCTGCTGGTCACCTGAGAACCTTACCCTAGTGTGCTGGGTCTGTCTGAGGTCAGTCTGTGAAGGGTTTCACCTGCCTCACTGATGGAAAACATGATGGTATGTGGACAGGCCCTGTGAGGACTCCTCTGGAGTATCATTCCAATGGCTAAACCAAGACTAAAACCCAGTCCTCTGACTTGGGATATAGAGAAATGTTTTTAGAGGGATGCCTGGTGACACTGATTCACCCTGGAAGGTCCTTTGAACTGCAGTTCCTAGGTCAGACAAGCAGCATGCAGTTGAAATGCTCCTGGGTGTATTGCCTCACGGGTAGTAATTCCTTCTTTTCTCTCAGGTTGAAGGTGCGTTTACTCAAGGAATGGGACTCTACACGATAGAGGAGCTGAGTTACTCTCCTCAGGGTCTTCTGTACAGCCGTGGCCCAAACCAGTACAAAATCCCTGCCATTTGTGACATCCCCACAGAGATGCACATTTCCTTTTTGCCCCCATCCGAACACTCAAACACCTTATATTCATCTAAGGTAAGCTGTGTTGGATGACTAGGTCCATGCTTACTTGATATCTGTAGGGTGGAGAGACGTTGGTCTGCTCGGTTGTTTGATGTCTTGACTGCGATTCCAGGAGTCCTTATTTAACATTCTCATTGTAAAGTAACTTCATGGCATGGTGAAATGCTTCAAATACTCCCAACCTGCCTAACGTGAACTATCAGATTACATTTGACTTTGTATATTACAGCCACCACCTTCAAGCCTGTATGTGCTTGCTCCATCTGAAACCATTTTCTTAAGCTAGAATCCTAAGAATATTAGGATCAGTGGTTAAATGACTTTTTCAATAACAATTTACTTATGGTGTTCTGTAGGTTATATATGTATCTAATTAACAAATACTGCATTATGTACATATGCACGGGTGCCTGTATGTTCAGAGAGGAAGGGACAGTTTGTGTCATAACCTCCATGGCTCACTTTTCCCCAGGGTCTGGGAGAGTCTGGGGTCTTCCTGGGATGTTCGGTATTTTTTGCCATCCATGAGGCCGTGAGCGCGGCTCGGCAGGAGAGAGGCATCTCCAGACCACTGAGGCTCGGGAGTCCACTGACTCCAGAGAAGATCCGAATGGCCTGTGAGGATAAGTTCACAAAAATGGTACGTTACACTCAAGAGAAAAAAAATGGAAAGTCCATCATTTCTGTCCCCTGGCTCTATGGCGAAGTGTCTTTAACCCACCGCTGTGGTTTTTCCACAAAGAAGAAAAGCTGACAGGAACTCCTTGGGGCACATGGGAGGGACAGAATGGCTCTTGAACTTGTGCCCCTGGGTTGTGTCTTTTCCTCAGCCTTCCTTGGTCTCCTGTGTGCTCAGGTCCTTATCACTCGAGGGGAACAGAAAGCTCATTCTCTCAGATTTACGTTTCCCCTGAGTCAGGCTGAGTGCAGGGGCTGAGGCCTGAACCCAGGACACCCAGCCACGAATCAAGGTCACTCTTCTATATCCCCCTGCCACCCACGCAGGCACTGGCAGTGTGACGGACAGAACCCTCCCACAGTGTCATTCCCGCTGAGCACACGCTTCGGTTCCCTGTGCGTCTGTTCAGCAACATGATCTGTGGTTTTAGATTGTAATGGGACCATGCCACCCAGCTTCCTCTCTAGCTACGAGACAAGTTTCCTTCTCGTGTGTGTGTGTGTGTGTGTGTGTGTGTGTGTGTGTGTGTGTGTGTGTGTCCCTCTTACACTCCTTCCGTGCAGGCTCTGCATAATCCTGGACCCCACACTGGGGAAACAGACACCGACTCCATGTTTCCTTAGTCCCTCTCCACGTGGAGTTAAAACTCTCCATCCCTCCGCTAGACCCTCTCCAAGGTGCCTCTGTATATCCCGTGGTGGTGTCCTCTGATCTCTCATCGGCCCGTTGCCTGTGGTGGTTTTTACCTTCACTACCTTCTGTTAATTTTTTTTTTAAACCTAAGTCACAAGCATGTCTCTAGGGTATAAGCATCCAAATTTGCTCTTTCCTCCCAGATTCCAAGAGATGAACCTGGATCCTACGTTCCATGGAACATAACTGTGTGAGTCAAATGCGAACTCTGGAGGGACCGGGTCAACGCCACTGCAGAATGCACCTCCCGGTCTCTCTGCTCCTAGCCTCAAACTATAAAAGCCAGATTTTCACAGCCCAGAATCATCCACAGCATTGCTTTACAGGAAGCTGATTTGGAAGTTTCGCCTCAACATACTCCAGGCATACCTAAGCAATCACAAATCATATTTTATTTTATTTTATTTTTTTTTATTTTTTATTTTTTTGGTTTTTTCGAGACAGGGTTTCTCTGTGTAGCTTTGTGCCTTTCCTGGAGCTCACTTGGTAGCCCAGGCTGGCCTCGAACTCACAAAGATCCGCCTGCCTCTGCCTCCCGAGTGCTGGGATTAAAGGCGTGCGCCACCACGCCCGGCTAACAAATCATATTTTAAATTGCACAAATATTAAATTGTTTCCTTTGAGGTGGTTTCGTTCATTTATTCATTATTCTGTCCCTTGGAGCTGTCCAGCTAAATATGAACACTTGTCTGTGGCTCGCTTTTGGTTTGTATACTCCAGCCAAAGTTATATTATCTAATGAATGACGATTTTATAAATAATTTCTTCCCTGTTGTGAACTGTAAATTCATTTTTTTTCATTTGTCCCTGAAAGCAATCACTCCACTCTCCTTATCATGACAGATACGGGCCGCATATCTAAAGAGTCTCTGGGACCACTGGGGTCAGGAGGAGAGAGATAAATGAACTTCATCAAAACCACAAAGGTGGCAACAGCATTCCCACCACTCAGGAGAGGGAGGCAGGAAGGTCTAGAGTCCAAGGCCAGCCTGGGCTACATAGCAAGACTCTGTCCCAAAAAAATAAGGGCTAAGGATAAAATTGGTGATTGAGTGCTTGTCTAATGTGTTCAGGGCCCTTGGTTCATTTCCAGCACAGCAGAGAGAGAGAGAGAGAGAGAGAGAGGGAGAGAGAGAGAGAGACAGAGACAGAGACAGAGAGACACACAGAGAGAGACCCACAGAACAGGAGAAGATATTTATAAACATATGACAAAAGTCTTGGGTACAGAACACTTAAAACTTAGTAGTTAAAGAACAAATTACTCTTCAGTATATTTTTAATGGACTGATAAAGCAAATAGACAGAGATGTTTAAATGACCAGTCAGCACTTAATTCGCTCAGCCTTGTTGTTCCTAGAGAAATGTACGTCAAAACTGTAGTGAGACGCCATTCACGTACACCGTAGTTGAAACAATGGACAATGGCAAGTGTTAGCAGGAACATGGAGAAACTAGAGGCTCTGTCCATTACTGGAGGGATGTTAGAGGCTCTATCCATTACTGGAGGGATGTTAGAGGCTCTGTCCATTACTGGAGGGATGTTAGAG